AGGGGGCTTCGTGATTTCCTGGACTTTCAAGGGGGGATTCGTTCTCGTAAGGTCCTATCGGAGACCTCGTACCGAGGCCTGATGCAGAGTGAATATGATTAGTGGGAAGTTTTTATCTTAAATCAACAATTTCTTGACTAAGACTTGAGAAATGCGATTTCGCGATACTGTGAAAAAGCGTTCGCGTCTTCGTAGTTCTAGTCCTAGTTGTCATAAGCCTTTTCAAGAAAATAAAACGTATAATATTCTCGTTGGACTAATATATACTGACTTTAATTTCACCCTGATAATCAGCTTGCTGGACATGGGCTAAGAAGTCTTATAGCATCTAAGCACTGATTTACTCACCCAAGGTTGTTGCAAGACACCCTCTTTCATAACAAACGATGTTCTACATAGACATATTTCCGTTTGGTTTCGGAAAAGAAGAGAAGCAAACGTCATGACAAATCAAGTTTTTCCTTACTAGTTCAAATCGATCAAATTCGTTCAGCTTCCTAAATTCCAAATGAACAAAGGTGGTGATTAGCTGTGTCATAGCAAACACTCAAACATTTGACTTACACATACTCTCTTATGGATCCGCATTTACTAGTTGATTCAGTGCGTTCTTGCATCGCACCTTGTGTCTTTAAGACCCTATTTTTCGACATCACCTTGAACCGTGCACTCACTGAATATCTGTCAAATGCTGTTATCATATTCGCAATTGTAGTTGTAGCAGTGGTTCCGTCTTTGAACTTAAAAAAGTAAAACTGGTTATATTTCTAGAATTTTGAGAATTTTGCCACCGAACACTTCATTTCAAAAAAAGAAATGACACTCTAAAATGGGAATTTACACCTGTAGAAAATAGTTTGCAAGATTGAAAACAGCGCTGATCGTGAATTGTTTCGAACCGAAGATTGCTGTGTTTTGCGCTAGATAACCTAACGTGTAGTGTTATCAGAGACATGTCCATTCACAGCCAAAAATTGTAACATAAACATAAAGGTTTCTATTACGATTTTTAGCGGGCCCATTTTTTTAGAAGAAACATTTTTGCTACAGAAGCGCTTAGTTGTAGAAAAGTATGTTGATTCTTACTTTGGTTTCCTTCGTAGGCTCCTTAGTAAGGTGCGACGAAAGGAACCTTTCTAAGTTGTTAAGCACTGCTGTTCGAACGTGCCTCTAGTTTTAAGCAAAAAATTCAGTCTTGAAAGAATAATTGAAACAGAAGAAAGAGCTATGGAGAAAAATATTTAGCATTTAATGAATTTTCTAATAACTTACGCATTTTGAGAACTGAGTGCAATTCATCCCCGGAACAAGAGGCTGGTGCACATATATCTAATTCGAAAGTGAAGCTGATGTTACCGCTAGGAATTCGAAGCGTAACCCTGTAATATATATAGTTAGATTTTTCGCGAAAATCATGTTTCGAACCGCCTACCTAAAGTATCCTCCTCTGATCCTTCGGCGAATGTCATTGTCTTGGTAGTCGATAGCCTTACATTGTTCGAATGAACCGATAAATGTGACATGCCCTCGGAGTATCCCGGGGCCAATTTTTCCACTAGAATCAATGACTGCAAAAACATTATTCATAAAGAATAATAGGATAGAAAAATGATAAAATCATTAGAGTAGGTAGTTAGATATAGGTTTTCAAGGAAAAAGATTCGAATGATAGAGTTTTAATAGGGTTTTTCTTTTTTCAAAGGGTGGTACCAATGATTTGGCTAAGCTAAGGTAAGCGAGTACACATACCGGGTATAATGAGCTTTGAGTCAATCTCCCTAACTTTTTGTTGAAGTATCCTTTCGGGTAAGGAGTAAATGCCATTAATGATAATGTCCAGATCTTGAGTGCAATTTTTTGATAGCTGTTCTCCAGACACGTTAAGATTTGAGAACAATTTTTCAGCAGAAAACTCCTGAAAATTATACTCTTCGATGA